CTGTGACTGAATGTGGATGTCTGTGTAGTGCAGGCAACATTCATGACAGGTTGCGTATATTTGCGTGTGCCTGACTTCTGTGACTGTGTATGTATACGCCTCCAAGTGAGTATCTGCCCGAACCTGAGTCCAACTGAAGATGTATAACAGCATATTCATGCCCATGTGTGTGTAAGTGTGTGTGTATTTATGCACATGTTTATATATCTCTCCCTGTCTGTGTGAACTGTATATCTCTCTTTTCCATATGTACCTAGGACAGGTGGAAGTCTGTATCAGTCAGGATGCTTTATCCTATAATGTGTCAGAAACCCAACTCAAATGGGTAGAACAAAAATGCATTTATTATGTCACAGTAAACAGTGCATTGGCAGGGCAGCTCCAAAACCCATTCATTCATTCATTCAACCATGTCATTGGGGAACCAGGTTCTTTCCATTTCTGTTGACTGATTCTTACTGTGGCTACCTCACGGTCTCAAGACAGCAGCCATGGCTCCAGCTTTCACACAAACAATATTCTCCAAGTCATAACAAACACCCCAAACTTAGTGGAGTAAAACAACAACTATCTTATTATGCTCACAGATTCTGTGGGTCACGAAATTGGACAGGGTCCAGTGTGGATCACCCGCCTCTACAGTTTGGAGTGGCCATGAGACTAAAGGGCTTCTTAAGTGAGTTAATTTATGTAAAGAATTGAAAACAATTCTTGGCACAGGCTAAGCCCCATATATGCGTTTATTGCTGTCATTTTTATTATTTTCGGATTTTTTTCTTCCCTAACACAAAGAAAACTCTTCCATTTGTTCCCTTCCTTCCTGCTTAGTTCATTGGTATAAGGATGAGAGACCTGGAGCTGTGGTGGCCAATGAGGCAGCAAGCCTGGAATATGAAACTATTCTTCCAAGGAAGGTGGAACAAAAGAGTAGGAGAATGGGTCATTGGTGATATCAATAAGCTGTTGTATTAACAGCTCCAAACTCCCAACTCCAGACATATTAAATGAGATAACCAAATATCTTGAGTCATGTTAATTGGGTTTTGTTTCTTCAGCCAAATGTATCCTCAAAAATCCATCTCTGTATGCCCAGCAAAGAACCCAGAGAAAGAGACCAATTATTTGATAATAAAAATTTGAATCATGTAGGACATGTCTGAGTTCAGGCATATACCCCTTTTCAGTATGAGTGATGTAATTGAAACAAGGCTGCAAACCTCTGCTTGGAGATGCCAAGGCCTAACAAAGAAATTTTGAACTGGATATACTTTGGTTTGCCTGCCCAGCGTCCATTTCACCTGGTAAAGCTTCTCAATTTTCCTTTGGGTCAGGATCCCCCTTTCCCATTCCCTCATTGGTTGGACACAAGACTCAGGTGTGCCCAGTCAGAGCGTTCCGTCTCCAGAGTAAAGTGACCAGTCTTCCCTTGCCTCCCTCATGACAGCCTTTGCATAAGCTGCTCCCTCTGCTTGGGACATGTCCCCACTACTCTCCCACCACTACCACATCTTCATCTAATTTCCACTCATTCCCTATGTCTCAGTAATATCACTTCCTCCACCAAAAATCCTTCTGAGTGGGCTTCCCTGGTGGCGCGGTGGTTGGGAGTCCGCCTGCCGATGCAGGGGACGCGGGTTCGTGCCCCGGTCCGGGAGGATCCCACATGCCGCGGAGCGGCTGGGCCCGTGAGCCATGGCCGCTGGGCCTGCGCGTCCGGAGCCCGTGCTCCGCAACGGGAGAGGCCACAGCAGTGAGAGGCCCGCATACCGCAAAAACAGAAACAAAATCCTTCTGAGTGGAGCGCTGGGGTTTCTATTGCTTTTATATATGCCCAATAAGTGTTCCCATCCTACTTTCCCAGTCACTATTTAGGTTCAACCATATGAAATTGCCAATGTTCTGCCATTTCTAACCTACAAAACTGGCAATTTCATACGGTTCACCCTAATATTTTTAGCACCTCCCCCTTCCCCAGGCCAAACGATCTGGACATGTGACCCCAACCTGGCCAGTCAAAGCATTCCATTCCTTTGGATATCACAATCAATGCAGGCATGGCAGGTGTCCCCAGTCAGGCCAATCAGAGCCCTTCCCTGGGATTTTTTTTTTTCATTTAGGACTGGAGGTTTTGCCATTTTACCTCTGGGCTATGGTGCTAGAAGGATTGAGTCTGTGTCTGCCCTACTACATGCAGTTGAAGGGGATAAATCTGAGTTGAGACAAGCGGAGAAGAGAAATGAATGGGAAGAGTGTCATGATGGAGTTGAGCCTGGGTTCCAGTCTCTAAGGCCAAGTTCCTGGTAGCTTTAACCTTGATTGTCTCCTTCCTAGCTACATGAGCCAACAAATGCACGCTTTTTACACGTAATCCAGTTAAACTGACTTCCTGTCACTTGCTACAAGACTCTAACACACTTCCCTGAACCTCCAGGCAGGGTCAGGCAGCTCTCCTGGGCTCTGTAGGCTTTATGTTTCTCCCACCGCAGCCCTATTGCCATATCTGTCTGCCTGAGCTCCAAGAGGGCAGGAACTGGAGCTGTCTTGGTCAGTCAGTCACTGTTGACCAGTTGGTCACTGCTGGGTCACCAGTGCCCATCACAGGGCCAGGGCACAGAGCAGATGTTCCAATACTCCCCTCGAATGATACCATGCCCTCTCTCACTAATGTACCTGTTCTTGGGTTTAAAGCTCTCAATTTTGGGAAAAAACAAAACCAAGCATGTCATTGGCATTGATAAATACTTCTCTGTTAAATGAAAGACCTGAAGTTACAGGGGAAGGAAGGTGATGGCTGTCATCCAAACGGCTGAACCAGGGACCATGTGGGTCCCAAATGTGCCGATGGGTGGATGCCAAGTTCTGAGGTGGCAGTTCCTGATTTTGTTTTGAAGACAGGCACACCCTGCTCGAAGCTGGATTCTCCATGGAAATCAGGCCATATACTGCCCCAGCTGAAAACACTCCACAGGCTTCCCACAGCTCTGAGAATAAAATCTTTACTCTTGACCACAGCCCACAAGGCTCTGCAGAACCTGCTCCCTGCTTGCCTCTCCCACTTGCTCTCCTCTCACTCTCCCCCTTATTCCAGTCCAGACACGCTATACCTCCAACACACCAAGCACACTCCTGCCCCAGGGGCTTTGTACATGCTCTTCTCTTTGCCAGGAATGCTCTTCCCTGGCTCTTCCCACAGTGGATTTCTTCAGCTCCAACATCACCTTCCTTGACCTTCTATCCTAAAGTAAGCCTCTCAGTCATCCCATCCCAGCATCCTGTTTTCATGCTCAACGTGACACTTATTCACTACCAGACACTCATTATTTACTTGTTTGATTACTGTCTCCTCGCTCCATGGGGCAGGGGTTTCTCGTTTTGTCTATTTTGTTCACTGTTGTATCCCCTGCACAGGGCCAGGTACATAGTACATGCTCAAGAAAGCTTTATCAGGTGGATCAGAGACAATATAGTCAGGTGGTTAGGTGTGCAGGATTTGGAGGCAGTAAACTTTCCAATCATGGCTCTGCCGTTTACTGCCTGCATGATCTTGGGCAAGTCCTTACCTCTCTGAACTTCAGTTTCCTTATCTAAAAAAAGAGGGTACACAAGGCCTCTTGCCTTCTGAGATGGCCCACACTCTGTCTGTGGAGCGTGTTTCTAAGTAAACCCACTTCTTACCTATCCAAAAATAAATAAGAGGGTGCACACACCGCACACATCTGTTGCAGAGTATAGATGTAATCATGCTTACTGTCTTGAGTCCATTTTGTGAGTGCTATGTGCCAGGGGCTGAGCTGCACACTCTCTATTCATGCATCAGGGAGGGTTTGTGAGCACAGTGCCTGGTGTGTGGGAAGCCCTCAGTACTCAGGAGTCGTGATGACTGAGATAGATAAGTGTGGCTAGGCCACTGGGTGATTCTGGCCTGTGATTCTCTGGTGCCTCTGTCCTTGCTGCCTACCACCCTGTCTGCCCAGATCCATTCCCCTCCCTCCTGCTCTGTTTCTATTTCTGTCTTTCTCTCCTCCTCTCCAGGCCTCAGGAGGCCCCTGGCTGGCATGAGGCCTTCTTCCTTCTTCCCCAGGATTGGGAAAGAGTTTTCACTGCAGGGCCCACACGCCAAAACAACTTCCCTTCCCCAGCCACAGCCCACACCTTCACCTGAGAAACTCCCCTCCCCACACCAAGCCCTGCGCCCTAAGCAGACCCCTTCTCTACCTAAGAGCCCTCAGATTCCAGACAGCATGACCAATGAGCCCTTTCCCTCGTCCCCTCCCCCACCAGGCTGGCTTTGGATACCCACGCTCAGCTAACTAAGGTCCTGGGGGCCATTCCCTAGCCTCCAGACACAGACATCAGAGGCTACATTTGGTAGTGGTGAGGGACAGATACTGAGGTCAAACTGCCAGGTCTCCAATGTCTTCACCAGGGGAGCCTCGGGCACGTGACTTCACCGCTCTCGGGTGCAGATTCCTGTCTGTAAAATGGGACCAAATGCATCTGCCTCCAACAGCCGTCCGACCTTGGAGAGATGAGCTGTGCTTAGCACAGTGCCTATGTGTAGAATGAACCTTTCCTAGCTGCTCAGCACTAAAGATTCAGAAACCTGCCTGCCTTTTGAAAACCCAGTTTTGCCACCTTCTGGTTATGTGACCTGGGGCAAGTTACTTTACTTCTGGGCCTCAATTTACTCATCTATAAAATGGGATAATGGTACCGATGTCCTAGGGCTGTTGTGAGGATTACACGAATTAAGTGCTTGGCACACAGCAAGCACTCACTAAACCTTAGCTATTGTTTGTGCCTTTGGGGTTTTGTTTGTTTGTTTTGTTTTTGACATATTATTCCCCACCTCTAAGTCTCTCAGAGGGTAGGAAACTGTCTGCAAATCTTCCTGGGCCCAGTTAGCTGTCCTACCTTCAGACTCACTTAAGAGCCCTTACGCTGTAATCTAGGTCACCCTCCCCCTCAACCTCCCCAAGACACATGGACACACACAGAGGTCAGCAGAGTGGCCTCAGACACAGAAAAATGTTTAATTCTCCTGCGGCGGAGGGTCCCGGCTCCGGTAGGGAGGGGGATTTGGTTTTGGATTTTGTTCATGTGGGGATTTATTTGGGGGTTAAGAGGAAGGAAGAGGGGTGAGTCTGGTCCTTCCAGTGGGACCTGCCCGGGAGAATGTGTACTGGGGAGATATAATCTGGAGAGACAAGGAGGCTGGACGCAATACGGGAGTTCAGAGGGAGAAGAGATGACGGGACAGAGAAATAAGAGACAAACAGGGAAGGACGTAAGACAGAGATGACAGAGGGCGTGACAGAGACAAACGAAGGGAACAGAGAAAGGGGCACCCCAAGCCAGACCCGACGGGACCAGGGAATTGAATGGGGTGGGGGTGGGGGCTTTGGAGGCCGCCGCGGGACCGAATAGGATCTAGTCCAGCCAGATACAAGAAAATGGGTCCCTCGCCCCTGCCCCGGGTTCTGGGCAGGGGGAGGGGTCTCGTGTCTCAGTGCTGCAGTGTCGGGGGACCCTGCCCCTCCCCGCGCTTCGCTGTGTAAGGCACCGGCTCCAGCGAGGTCCGCGAGCGCGCGGGGGGAGGGGCAGGAGGGGGGCTTAAAGTCCGTGGGGGAGAGGAGCTCGGCGGCCCACCCTCCAACCCCCCTAAGCGCGGGGGCGTGACTTCGAGCCGCAGCCCAGGCCGCCCACCCCATCCAGGGAGGAGAAGGGCACGCCTCCCCTGCAGTCCGACGTCTTTGCTCGGAGCTTTGTCCCCCGAGTCCTGCCCCGGCGTCCGGGCGGCTGGGCGTTTGTCCGCGGCACCCAGGCGTCCCGGCGCCCGCCAGCCGCTCACACGGTACTCTCCAGCATCCACTCGGTGCTGGTAAAGGCCAGGCGCGCCCTGGCGGCGCCCAGCCCCAGGTCTCCGTCCTCCCCGGCCGCGCCCCCTCCAGCCCCGTCCAGGTGCGGCGTGGACCGGTGGCGCTTTGTCCGCCGGGCGCGGCGCGGGTAACTGTGGCTCTGGAAGAGCGCCCCGTAGTCCCCGTCAAACGAATAGCGCTGCTGCGGTCTCGGCCGGGCCGGGGCTCCCCCAGGAACCAGAGCTAAAGTGGGGGGCGCCGAAGCCAGCGATCCCAGGGCCCCAGAACGGCTCCTCCGAGGGCCAGCCGCGGCCCAGGACTCCTCCCCGGAGGTTTCCTCGGACGGCAGCAGGCACAGCGAGGTGGCTGAGCCGCCCAGGGAGCGTCCAAGGACCGCCTCCGGTTCCGCGGAAGCCGTGTCGGCCGCCACGGCCTTTGCCTCGACGGCCACCGCCGCAGCCGGAGCTGGCACCTCGCGCAGCGCCTCGTAGCGGTCTTGCGCCTGCGGGGGCGGGGCTTGCGTTGCGCCTGCGCCTGCGCCGTTGGTCTGAGAGCACACGTGGCTGACCCGCGGAGGCGACCTGGAGGTGCCCTTGACTCGGCGGCCATCCCCATCGCCGTAGACCTTGTAGCGGATCATGAGCAGAACTATGAAAACGAGGACGGAGGCGACAATGACACCCCCGATGGCGATGATCATGGTGCCGCCCAAGAAATGGGCCCTCAGTGGGCGGCAGGGCGCGGGATCCCCCGCCGTGGTAAACTGCACGCAGCCCACCACTCGGGTGGCGGGCAGCGCCGTGGCCCCATCGTCGTAGACGGCCAGCACGCACAGGTCGTAGGCGCGGCCCGCTGCCAGATCATTCACCAGGAAGGTCTGGCTGGTGGATGGGATCATCCTGCGGGAGGGGGCGGGATCAGCGCGGGGTTAGCTCCACTCTGAACCGCGATGCTTCAGTTGCATGTCCCACCCGGGGGGACCAAACGATACATCCCTACCAGTGTCTCACCCTCTACTGGGACAACAGCAGCCATTCAAGCAACAAATTCTCACCCTCTCAGGGCCTTTGACACAGCCCATGCCCCTTATCTGCATGCCCCACCCTCAAACCCACCCCCTGTCCGTGTCTCATCACCTACTAGGATAATTTTAGCCATTCATCTACCCTCATCTACATATCCTGGCCCCTGCCAGGGAGGAATGCTACAGTTTTTATGCCCTGCCCTCAAGGGGCATGCTCCCTAGCAGTGTCTCATTCCTACTAGGACAAATGCCATTCAAGCATTCTTATCTACATACTCCCACCTTTAAGGGGATGGATGCTACAGGCCACGCCCCCTTACCTGCATGCCCCACCCTCACTCAAGTGGACAGTGAGGTCACCTCACAGCCCGTCTTACTCCTACTGGGGCAATGGGTGCTCTTCTAGTTCCTCTCTTCTACACATTCTTGTCCTTTCGGGGAAACCATGATACAGACCACTCCCCCTCATCTGTACATCCTTGGGTATACACATCTCATAGCTGCATCTATTTTCTGGGACAATTTCCAAGCCCCTCAACTCCATATTTCCACCTACTAAGGGGCCAGGGCTAAAGGCCACTTCCCTTCTGATTGACAGGTGCCTTCCAAGCCACACCCCACAACGGTCCACTGGAGATGGTTCCCCTACTGTGCCTAGGACCATGTCTACTCTTTGCATGTCCCGCACGTGTCCAGGTAATAAAGGCAACCACTCTGTGCATGCCCTGCCCCTATACTGCCTGAAGTCACTAAAGCATGCCCCCCAGTAAGTTTCATCCATAATTGGGGCAAATGTAGCCAAGAAAGCATGCTCCTTTCTTGCTATGGGCCCCTGCCCTCAAATGAGCAGCAGTGTAGAGAAGTGGTTAAGCTGACAAAGTCTGAGAGCCATGATGCCAGGGTTTGAGTTCTCTTCTGCTCCTTGCTAGCTCTGTGACCTCAGGCAAGTTTCTTAACCTCTCTGTGTCTCATTTCCCCCAAATGGGGGTATTAACAATTCCTACTCCATAGAGATGGCGTGAAGTATGATGAGTTAACATAGCCAAAGCCTGGCACTTAATAATTTCACTAACAGCTTGCGTCCCACACGATGCTGGCCAGTAACCCTTGCTGTGGCTCACACTCTCCTGCCAGCTGTGCTCCTCCGCATCTATAAGGCCATTCCCACTAGGCCTTGCCCCTCTTCTGTTGGCACACCCCTTTCATGTCCAGCCTCGGCTAACCTGGGACTGCCACATCCACATAGATTTGCATGCACTCAATCTCGCAAGCTCTCCTCTCCCACAAAGCTCTTAGTGGGTCACCAGAGACAAGAACCGCCTCTTCATCTGCGTGGGGACTATGCTGCAGGAGCGCCACCTCCTCTAAAGGCCATGCCCCCATCTCCACAGGCCACCTTCTGGTCCTGAAACCCACCTCAGTTCCTCCACCTCCAGAAGGTTCCACCACCACCAAGAGCCATCCTCCCACCGAAAGACTTCAGGTAAGGCCCTCACCACCTCATAAAGGCCAACCACCTCTCTGACTCTCCCCCTGCCTGCCATTTCACAGACCAGTGCCCCCCCCATCCAACCTTGGGCCCCTGGCTCTAAGTCTTCCTCTTCCTCTCATCATCCCTTCTCAAAGAGCCTTGGATTCTTTTTGCTCCTTCCCCCAAAATAACCAGTTGCTAGGGGCTCCCCCCTTTCCAAGGACAGAGGCTGGCTCCTTAAGAAAGCTTGAGCCCATGTGTCTCTAATTGGCTGTAAGACCCAAGCAAGCAGCAGAGCAGGCTTCTGGTTGGTTGTCACCTCCGCCCATGGCGGCAGTGAGGAAGTTAACCCCTGCAGTGCTGTAGCACAGGGGCCTGCAATGGGGGACGGAGGATTGGAACTGTGGCCCTACAGGGAATGGAAGAGTCCCAGGGTCTGTTGCCCAGCTGGAGACAGAGGGCCACCAACGTCGGCATACATGCAGGGTCTGGGGACCTGTAAACCTCCCTCCACTCCATCATGTAGTGACCATGGGTTAGAGAGAGAAGGAAAAGAGAAAGAGAGAAGTGGAGAATCACAGAAACCAAGAGCTGTTTACAGAAATGTATTATCCATCTCCCCTAATCCCTGCCTGGCAAACAGTAGGTGCTCGATAAACATGTGTTCAGTGTAAAAAGGGCAGAATTAGGTGTTAGAAGGGTAAGAACTGGAATCCTGGCTCTGCCTCTTTCTGTGTGACCTTGAGCAAGTGACTTCCCCCAACTGAGCCTCACTTTCCCCTGTCTGTAAAATGGGAGGGGGATCATGGCTGCCTCACAGCGGAGTTGGGAAGGTTGAATGGAGTAGAATCCTTGGTAGCACGTTATAAAAGTTTTTGTTTTGTTCATTTGTTTGCCCTAATGTTTGTAAGACTGGGCCAGTGTTTGATCCATCTCGGTAGGCCCGGGCCCAGCATGGAAACTGGCATGCAGTGTTTGGTGACCAGATTCAAAAAGAGAGGAAAATGAGGATGACAGAGACAAGAAAAAAGGGAGGCATCTACTCATTCAACCAACAATGGGAAAATGCCTACTGTGTGCCAGGACCGTGGCCAAGAGAACGCTGGGCAAGGTGAAGATGGAGCCCAAGAGGCAGACTTCTCAGTGCAGGTCTGAGCACCCCCAAGATCTGAGGTTGCCCACGGGTGGGGAAATGGCTCCACCTGCTCTGGCGCCCCCAAGTGAAGTCAAACACAGGATTAAGCATTCAGTGGGCATTCTACAGTGTGTCCAAGGGAGGCAGAGCCAGGATGAAGGAGAGACGTCCACAGAGTTCACAACCACCTATCAAACTCTCCCACTGTGTGCCAGGTCTGTGGCTGTGAGCCACACTCAAAAACTACCCAGCTGGAGAGGCAACGCAAGGCCAAGGCTGTTAATACATCGTGTACGGCCTCCTCCCTCTGGGCTGTGAGCTCCCTGAGGGCAGGGACTGCTCTCTTGGTCTCCCTGTGTCCCCTGCACCCAGCTCAGGGCCTAGCAGAGAGCCGGGGCTTAGTGCCTCATGAGGGCAGGAGGGAGAGAAGGTACAGACAGACAGAGACATGGCGAGAACAAGAGAAAAACAGATGATGGGGGAAAGTAACTCTTTAACATCTGTCTATACCATACGTGTCTGTCCTCACCGGGGCGATGGCTTCTAACCCAGTGGATGGTGGAGATAATTTGTATTTATATCTTTTTCTCATACTTTTCTGTTTCTATAATGTACCCAATGTATTGATACAGTAGCACTGGTATATAATTTCCAAATATGAATGTAACTGTAAATATATATGTGTGAGTATACTTCATGCTCTAGAATGTTTAACTGACAAGGTAGACAATCGGACACCTTTGGCGAGCAGTGACGTAGACCATGAGCCCCACGAGAGCAGGGATCATGCTGGGCGCACTCAGTTATAACTCCAGTGCCCAGCCCCGGTCTGGCTCATGTGGGTGCGAAACGAAGATATGCAAAATGTGTGAAACACAAAGACAGTGAGACAGAAAGAGAGAGAGAAGGAAATATGGCAAATGAGAGCCGGAGACCACTCTACGTACCCATCTAGAACCCCAGCTGAGCAAGAAGGCCTAGTGAGCCGGCAGATGGGAGGGAGGGCCCCTGGGGTGGGAGGAGGTCCTGGGACTGCAGCACCCACCTGTAGACAAGGGAGTCATCCGCGGAGCTGTTGTACTGGACCTGGTACATGCGGATGCCAGGCACGGGCCTCTGGGCTGGCCAGCGGATGAGCACGGAGCTGGAGGTGAGCTCGGCAGCCACAAGCCGGCGCTCAGCCCCAGATTCATTGGCACCAGGTCGGCCAGGTGTGGCGATGTCCGAGGAGCCAGGCTCGGTGAGAGGTGGTGGGGCGGCCGGTGGGGGCGCCATCAGAGGCAGAGGCACCACGCACACCTCCACCGGTGCCGTGGCTTCCCCGGCGGCGTTGGAGGCTATGCAAGTGAACGTGCCACTGTCCCGCAAGGTGGTGATGGTTACATCCAGTGTCCCATCCCCCCGGACCCGGGTCCGGCTCGAGTTCCCCAGCAACCGCCCATCAGGTGCCACCCAATGCACTACCGGCTCAGGGTCACCCACAGCACGGCACCGCAGGCTGACCGCCTGGCCCTCCACCACCAGGGCCCGGCCGCCTGCCTGCCGAGTGATCAACGGAGGTTCACACAGGAACTCCTCCTCGGGGATGGACCAGAAGTAGCGGTCGGTGAGGTGCTCAGGGGTGGCACACGTCTCCAGGTCATCCTCCCTTGTCAGCCGCCGCAGCCAGAGCAGCTCGCAGTTGCAGTGCAGGGGGTTGCCGCCGAAGCTGACCGTGAGCGGCGTGGGTGGCTTTGGCCCGGGGCCTTGGGACCTCAGGAAGAGCCCGTCAGGGGGCAGTTTGTGCAGGCGGTTGGAGGTCATGTCCAGGCGAACCAGTTTGTGAAGCTGCACGAAGGTACCTTCGGCGATGTGGTCGATCAGGTTGTGGTCCAGCGTGAGGGTGTTCAGGTTCACCATCTGGCCTACGGCCTCCCACGGCAGGGCCTCCAAGTTGTTGTAGGACAGATCCAGGTCCTCCACGGTGGAGAGAAAGGCGTCGAAGGCGGCCGACTCCACCCGGCGGATCTGGTTATTGCCGAGGATCAGGTGGCGGAGGTTGCCCAAGCCGCGGAGCTGGTCGCCCCGGACCTCCGCCAAGCGGTTGCTGTCGAGGTGCAGGGCGCGGAGGGCGCGGAGGTCTGCAAAGGCGCCGGCCGCCACCTGGCCGATGGTGTTCCGGGAGAGGGTGAGGTGCACCAGGCTGGTCATGTTGGCGAAGTCTCGGCGGCGGACGGCCGCGATGAAGTTGTCGGTGAGCCGCAGCTCCACCACGCGCCGGTCGATGGCCGGAGGCACAAAGAGCAAGCCGGTCTTGGCGCACAGCATGGTCAGCGTGGGCGCCACGTTCTGGCAGATGCAGCGGCCGGGGCAGGGCTGGCCTCGAGATGCCCCCGCCCAGAGAAGCAGCAGAAAGGGCAGGGCAGCAGGCGGCAGCGAGAGGAGCGCCGAGGAGAAGGGGCCTGGAGCCATGGTGCAGGGGGAAGACGGGAGGAGCGGGAGGTGAGATCTGCAAGGAAGGAGAAGGGTCACCCAGGCGTAGGGCTTGACCGCCAGCCTGGCCACCCTGGGATTTCCTGCTAGGAGTCCGACCCAGATCCCTCCCTTCCTGACAAGCGGGTCCTTTAGAACAGTGACAAGACTGATCATCAGCTGGCATGCACTTGTTAATAGATAACAGTATTTCCATTGCTGCTTGGTAAATTACCACTGCCCCACCTCTGAGTGTCCTACCCACCTCTGCCCTTCTTCTAGGAGCTCCCAGACCTCTTATAATCTCACAACCAGAGGGATGTCATCTGGCCCAGCCTGTGTCTTCCACTACCCATGATATATTTTGAAAAATCACTGCTGACTAGGGCTTAAAGTCATGGATTTCAAAGCCATACTCCCTGGGTTCAAATTCCAGCTCTGACACTTACTAGCTGTGTGACCTCGGGCAAGTGTCTGAACCTCTCTGAATCTCGGTTTCTTCATCTGTAAAATGGAGATAAAAACAGGCCTTACCTCTGTGAGGATTAAATGGATTAATGAGCATGGTATACTCAGAACAGTGCCCAGCACATACAATGTGTTCAATACATGTAAGTGGATAATTATTATTATTATCATCGTGTCCAATATGTGCCAGAGATAGAAATGTGCACTATTATTAAGAGCAAGGGCTTTAGATCAAATAGACTCAGGTTCAAGTCCTGGCTTCCCCAGCTTGCTAGCTCTGTGACCCCAAACCAATGATTTTCCCTAACTAGGCCATAATTTCCTGATTTGTAAAATGGTCTGATAATTGTACTGTCTTCATTGGGTTGCTGCAAGAGTTCAGTGAACTCATTCATAGGGGTCACTGAGCATCGGGCCTGGCACACAGTAAGTATTCAGTAAATGTTAAGGGTAATACACCCCCCGCAACCTCTGGCTGTAGCAGAGGGGTTCTGATGGTGGGAGAGGCTGAGAAAAACACATCAGTCTCCCTGCTCAGTCTTGAAAAGTCTTTCTCTGAGGCTGGTTTCATCCTGGGCTCTGCTGAGCTCCCACACAGGGGGCAGACTTTCATGCTCACATTAATGGGCACAAGGCCACATGCCTACACACACACACACACACACACACACACACACACACACACACACACACACACACACAAAATCAGGCTGTGCCTCTGCTCCAGGCAAAACCTTCCGGCAGGGATTCCCCCTGCGGCAGCTGCAGCCCACGACATGTCAACTCCCATCACAACACAGGGTGGGTGGGGGGTGAAGAGAAAAGGATGGGAAGGGGGGGGTCCCTGAAACTGTTTTCACCCCACCCCATGCCCCAGTCCCTGCTGGCCCACCTCCCAGGAATCTGCATTTGGGGCCTGTGACCTGATGTGGCCTTGATCCTTCAGCCCATGGGGAGGGGGACTGTGGACACAGAGAAGGGACCAAGAGACAGAGACGAGGGGGAGGGAGAGATGGACTCGCAGTTACAGAGAGACAGATTCAGAGAGAGAGACAACGAGATAACAAGAGAAAGAATCTGAAAGAAAGGTGAAGAGGCAGTAAGACTGAAGCAAAGAGAGCCAGAAAAACTGGGTGGAGGAGACACACACAGAAAAGAGAGACTGAGACACAGAGATGGAGAGGGGGAGAGACAGGAAGAGAAAGTAAGAGTGTTATAGAGACAGATAAAGACGGGAAGAAAGAGAGAGACTGAGGGAGACGGTGATGGGGCTGAAGAGAGAAAAAGGCAAAGTCAGGGTATCCCACCATCTCTGAGGCCCCCCACTAATTTGTCTTGCACTCCCTCCAGGACACTGCTCTACAATGGACAGAAAACCCTGGCCTGGGCGGTGGCGCTCCCAAGGTAGGAGGCCCAGCTCTGTACCTGCTTGGCAGTAGGGTCTCTAGGGCTCAGAACCACAATCTATGCAACGGGAAGTCCCACAGCTTGGGTGGGACTCAAGTTGAAACTGTAATAATAACACTGAAAATAGCTAACATTCATCGAGAGGCAGTGCAGCCTTGCCGGACAGAATCTGGCCCCAACCTTTCCAGGTTCACACCCCCAATTCCCTGCTGTGTGACTTTAATCAGGTGACTTCCTCTCTTTGTGCCTCAGTGTGTTCATCTGTAAAACAAGGATGATAGCACCTGCCTCACAGGATTATTGTGAGGATTAGATGAGATAATACACTGTAACATGCTTAGAGTAGTTGCTGACAGAGTAAACACTATATAAACGTTAGCTGCTATTAGCGTTAAATTATCGTTTTCTCTGGCTTTTTCTCAGCCACCAGCAGGTCTGAGTATCAGGAGATTTTCCCACGTACATGCACATACACACACACAATGGTAAACTATATCCATGCCACTCTCCAAATGCAGGGTCATATCACGTCAGGAAACTCTTTTGGATCCTTTACTGATATGTGGAAACTTCCCTTTTCCGACCACTTGACTCATCCTGAAAGGGGATGCCTCCAGGTCTGAGACCACCACCTACCACCCATGCCATGGTTCTTTCGAGCCCTTACCCAAACACGATGTTCCTGACCTTGTCCCTACCCCCCAGCCTGGGGGGCACCTGGTCCCTGCCATAACCGCCACTGAAATCCATACAAGGCAGTGTTCCAGGCCTCCAGCTGGCTCAGAACAAGCCCAGTCACTCCACATCTCTCTCCCCAGCCTGTGGGACCCCCGCTCACCTCTCTTCAGGGAATCAGGGCCTGGGCCAGTACCTGCAAAGGAACAAAACCACACCGTTAACATTCTTCTGGCTCCTCTCCGGAGACCTGCCTCAGAGACCATCTCAGCCAAGGAAGTCCCTGGTGTGATCACTCTCTCAGCTCTCCTGCTGCAGATTCTGCATAGTCTCAGGTGGACCCAGGAAGTCATCTCTGGAAACCAAGGAGTCTGGGCCTAAGACTGTTCACCCTCCAAAACCCAAGAGTCTAGGACTTTCGTCCTTTGTCCTCTGGGGGCTCAAGAGGCTAAGAACCCCACCCTCCCCTTCCCTCAGATTCAAGAGTCCAGGTCTCAGTTCCTGCCTTTCTCAAGACACAGGATTCTGGCCCCCCAGCCCTCTTCTCCTTCAAACCCAGGATTCTAGGCTCCCAGCCTCCTCCTTCCAGAATCCACATCCCAGTCCCCCAACTTCAAAGACCTGAACAGTACCAGGAGCTGGGGGAGGACCAGAAATTCTCATCTTCACCATCACACCACTGTCACACCAACATGTGTGGACATGCCAAAACCCACATGGGCCCACAACCCACGACTCTCCATCTGGATTTCCATGGACACAGCAGCATGATCTGTGTGCCCCCCGCCCTCAACAGACTCTTGGTCCAGGATGTGGGCACACTTGTATCCATGGATCCCAGCATACCACAGGTCATGCCACATGGGCCCCAATTCACTGGGCCCATAAGTGGGGTCAGCCTTGTGTCAAGGACACAGGCACATGTGCGCATATCATCCTGAATATATGTATTTGAACATACACAACCCCACCCCCCAGAGACCAACGTGAACACAAAAATGGACTCACAGTATAGACACATACCCTCAAGGTTGACACACCGACGCACAACCACACATACCATATTGCCTTTTCCCTTGTACACTCACACACAGATGCACACACAAAAGAGTGAAACCCACGTGTCCCCAGGTGCGTGCACCTATAACCGATCTACCCTTGCACACTCACCAACACACAGGGGCACACACATACAACAGATGCTCACGTGCACAGATACACAGGTGCATGCTCTTCAATGCCCAAACACACTCATGCAACTTCACATATCCCCATGATGCATGGTCACATACATTACCACACCAACAGATGCACGAATGCACACACTCGCGAATACACACCTCACACACATACACAGAACCACAACATGCACAGACGCCTACAAGGCTGATACTCAAACAAGCACACAGGTACAGAAAGACCCACCTTTGCACAGACACTCCCAGGTGCTCACTCATAACAGACGTGCTCACACAACTGCCCTGTGAGGGATTTACACACTTACATGTACACACAAAATATTGAACCACAGTGGCACAGTCAACAGATAAGCAGAGAACCCCACTCACACACAGTCATGGACACACATGCCTCCCAGACCTGAGGCACCCCCGCCCCACCTACTGCCCAGGCCAAAGAAATCCTAACATCCCTCCCTCCCAGCACAACCCCTCCCCAGCCAGGTCAGAGTTCAGCAGGTCGAATCTCAGAGGGTTGGGGGCCTGAGTCGTAGAGCATTGGTCCAAGGCAATCCTCCCACCAGCAGCCCAAAGGTCCCTCAGCCTGGCTATCTGGATGCAGGCAACTCCGGCCCCATCTGCGGAGATCTGGCCGGTGAGGGAGTGGGGTGGGATGGGTGTGGGAAAGGGCCGGGTCTGCATCCCTCCCCTAGGGCCCATCTGTCCATCCCTCGGCCTCTCATCCCTCCATCTGTCCACCTACCGGCTGCCCATCCCCCCCACCCAGCCACCGGGAAGGGGAAGACATGGCCGTCTCCCCCAAGGACCGCCGAGGACCACCACCCCCCCCGGAGTTGACATGGACCGAGGAAGCGGCAAACTCCCCTCCCCCAAACCCACACAGAGGCCTGGTCCCACGAGGCGCTGAGCCCCAGCCCCCCGCCGGGAACCTGACATGGACGCACAGACACACACCCTCGGAGACATACAACCCGCAGACACACACACACACGCACAAATGGACACCCAAGCGGGCACACCCGGCTACACAGATCCTGGGATGGACATCCAACCCGGACACAAACACCCAACGCAGCTAGCCGCGCGAAGACACTAGCTGCGGGGGGGTAGGGTGGGGGACCCACACCTGGGCACACAACCCACGCACACACACCTGCACACAGCCCCTCCGATGGGCGCGCGACAGCCCCCCCAGACACACAGCAGGAGGGGCAGCCACCCGGGGGGACACACACGCACGGCAGGACACAGCACCTCGGCTCGACACCCGGCACACACCCGGATGGCCACACAAGCAGGGCTCCGCACACGCCGGCGCCGGGCACACAGAGGGCCGCGCGAGCGCACGCCGGGCCCGCCGCAGCGCCGCGGACACACACTCACACACTCGCACGCTCGCACGCTCACACCGGCGCTCACACCGGCGCCCCCGCCCGCCGCCTCCCTGGCCGCTGCGGGCCGCGCTCACCCAGTCAAGGGGGGGCCCCGGGCCCGGCCCCGCCGCCGCTGCCTCGCTCCGCGCCATGGTGGGGGGAGGGCCGGGGGAGGGGGCGCGGTGCCGCGGGGCCGCCTCCCTCCCGCCTCCCGCCCTCCCTCCCGAGCCGCCGCCGAGCTCCGCCCTCCGCACCACCCGCCGCCGGAGCCCCGCCGCCGCCACCACCGCAAGCGGGGAGGGGACGCCGACCGGAGGGGCGGGCGGGGCGGCTACACGCCCCCGCCCCCCGCCCCTGGGCCAGCTGCAGACCCCTCTCCCCTGCGGAGCTGCCGGCCCGCCCCCAACCCCTCCCCAGCCCCACCTCCAGCCCTGCCGGCTTCCCGGGAGACCACCAGACCACGCCCCGACTGGCATGGGGAACCCTTGAAGCCCCAGTGGAGACCTCGGATCGTGTCCCAATGCCCAGGGGGACTCCAGATCATGCCTTACCTCCTTTGAGAACCCAGACCATGTTCCTCAGCCACCCAGGACCACAAATCATGTCCTACTCTCCTTGGTGACCTCAGACTCTGCCCCAAACCCATCAGGGACCTTAGTCGGTACCCCCAAATCTAAGGGGACCCCAGACCACATCCCAGCATCCAAGGGGATCCACAGCACCCCCATCAGGGACCGTAAGTCATACCCCAACATTCAGGTGGACCCCAGACCACACCCCATCACTCAGGGCCCCCAGATCACACCCCAACATCCAGAGAGGATTCAGACTATATGTCAACATCCAGGGAGACCCCAGATCGCGCCTTACTCCCTTTGGGGACCCAAACCATGTTCTACAGCCACTCAGGACCACAAAACATATCCCACTCCTTCCTGGGGACCCTCTATGTCCTTCTAACCTCTCGACCTCAAACCATTCCCTGCCCCCCAATAGGAACTCCAGACCACGTCTAACATCTAGGAGGCCCAAATATGTCTCTCACCCACATGGGAGACCCTAAACGTTCCTGATTACCCCCATTAGATCCCAGATCGTCCTCCCCTCAAAGGCACCCCTTGGTTTACAGAATGCCCAATTTGCCCCAGATTCTTGATCTTCCTCCCCACCGGTGCTGCCCTCCTGAGGACCCAGCCTCCTCCCCATTCCTATTCTCTCTCTTGAACCCTGAAGACCTTTCCCCCTCCCTGTGGCTTCTGTGGAGTCCAGAATGCCTTGTTCCTTCCTTGTTCAGACCCCTTTGCCCAAATCCTATCAAATAGCTGACCCCCAGCCCTTCTCCCACTGAGTATCTCAGGCCACTTTCCACCTGTTTTTGAGATATTCACTGGCCCCTAAACCCAGCAAGTCCTCCCCTCAAAATCTGTCTTACTGCAATTCCCCAGCTTCCTGGTGGCGCAAATCCCTCCCATTTTGAATCCCATTTGGATCCCAAGGTCCTCCCCTAAACCCCTTCCCTAAATTCTTCCTAGCCACATCATCACATGGAGCTTGCCCTGCCCCCCAGATCAAGGGCATCTCTGCAGAGCTTCCCTCTAGTGAACCTCCCTCTAGTGAAGCTCCAGTGAACCACTCACAACCATTAGATGTCCCTGGGGACACTCACAATCCCACCTCCCACCCCCTAGTCTTTAGATTTCACCATCACCATCACCATTACCACCACCACCCAGGCACCATCCCCACCTCTCACCCTGGTATTTGTTGCTCCCTGCCAGGATGTGGAGGACCAGGGCTGGGAGGACAGATGTGGGAGAATAATAACAGCAACAGCAAAAGTGGACACGTGTCAAACACTACTATGTACCAGGAGTGGATCTAAGGGCTTCACATATATGACTCCATTCACTCTTCACAGCAGCCAGATGAGGAAGTCGCGTTATTATCCCCATTTTACAGATGAAGAAAATTGAGCCACAGAGAGGTTTAGTTACTTGCCTAAGCTCACACAGGTGGTAAATGTCAGAACAAGGTGGAGGCGAACGGGAAAGAGGGTGAGGGCAGGCCTGGGATGGACGGGAGTGGAAGGGGGCGGGGTGGTGAGAAGTTAATAATAAGAGAGACAAAGGTATACAGAGGTGGAGAAACAAAGAGCCTGAGTCCAGGCAGAGACAGCCTCACTCACAGAGCATATCTGGCCCTGTGAGCTCTGGCCCCTGCCCACCTCTTGACATCATCCCTGACCACGCTTGTCTTTTAGCCTCAATAATGAATTTTCTCTTCCTTCAACATACCACCTGAATTCCAGCCCCTTGGCCTTTGCACTGTTTTCCCCTTCCATGGCTGATCCCATCTTTTCATTCAATTCTTAATTCAAATGTAATCTCTTCAGAGATCTCTTTCTCATGACCAATTTACATCCCCCCCACCACCAATTCTCCCGATGTCTGCAGATTACTTTGAAATACTTTAAAAATAACAATGGATTCATGGATGGATAGTTGGATGGCTATGTGATAAAGCAAGCACAGTCAAAACGTTAATGGTAGGGAATTCCCTGCCAGTCCAGTGGTTAAGACTCCAAGCTTCCAATGCAGGGGGCACAGGTTCAATCCCCGGTCAGGGAACTAAGATCCCACATGGCACATGGCGCAGCCAAAAAGAAAAGTTAATGGTAGAATCTAGGTGATGGATATATGGGTGTTCACTGTAAAATTATTTCAACTTTGCTGTATGTTTGAAATTCTTCATGATAAATGTTGGTGGGGAAAAAACCAGAGGACTCTTCTAGAGACTAAAGAGGCGGCAAAAAAAACACAAAACTCAGATGGGTCCCACCATTTTTATCATCCCATCACCTCATTTTATTTCCTTCATAGCCCTATCACTCTTGCTAATACTCTTCTTTGCTTGTTGTTTACCTATTTATTGTTTACTTATTCATTTATTGCTTATTGTCTAGTCATTGAAATGTAAGCCACCTGAAGGAGGTGGCATGGGCACCAATTTTCTCCAGTGTCCAGAGTAGTAATTGGCACCCAGTAGGTGCTCGGTAAACATGTGTTCTTGAACTCCTCTTAAGAGAGGGTCTGGAAGCTATATCTGCTGCAGACTCACTGGAGAGCCCACACTCAGGAATACACAGGATCTCGCAGCCTGGGGTCCCTGCAAGGGGAAGGATATACCCCAGAGGCAGGGGAATGCCCCATGAGGTCAGGGAATGTGAGATGGCCTGAAAAACAGGGCAACCGGTGGAAGCTGATAGTACGATGAATTCCCTGGGGCCCTAATTCCTGACCTAGACCAGCTAATAGAGATCCAATCTAATTCTTCAACAACTTAGGCCCTGCCCCCAAGCATAGGCTCCACCCTCTGTCTCTAAGGCCCCACCCCACAGCAAAATCTCTCCCCTATCTGACCTAAATAAATAACACCCCTCGGGACATCTCTGGTGGGCCAGTGGTTAAGAATCCCCCTTCCAATGCTCGGGACACGGTTTCTATCCCTGGTCGGGGAATTAAGATCTCACATGCTGCGGGACAACTAAGCCCACACGCCACAACTAGAGAGCCCATGTACCACAACTACAGAGCCCACGCGGCCAGAGTCCACGGGCCACAACTAGAGAGAAGCCCACGCACCACCCCCCGCAAGGAAAGATTCCGCATGCCGCAACTAAGACCCGAGGCAGCCAAAAATAAATAAATAAATACTTTAAATAACACCCCTCAAGCCTAGGTCTCACCCTCACAGCCCAAGCCCCACCCCTTTACCTTAGTCACCACCCTAAAATTTATAACATTCATACTTCTTCAGCCTGGGCCCTGCCCCCACCTAAGCCCCACCCCTCCACCTTAGGCTCCACTCCAAAAGCGTCAAGCTTTCAGCCTAAGCACTGGCCCTTCAAGCCTAACTTGGGTACCCCATTCTCAGCTCCGACCTAACGTCCAGTCTTCACCTGTTCAACATAAGCCCTGCTCACATTCAAGGTTAGCAGGGAGAAGTGCCCCAGGAAAAGCCTAGGGAGCCTGGATTTGTGGGAACCTAGAGAGGAGGTTGGTGGAAAGAGAGGAGGTGGCTCCCAGTTTGTACCGCCCCTCAAAGGCCTGGCCCCAAACCAAAAGCAACGCCCCATTGAGCCCACTTTGCATTGTACAGCGGTATTCTGTTCTGACCTCTTTGATTGGTCCCTCCACAAGCCCTCTACTCAAACCTACTCTGCATTGGACTGCCCCTCAGAGTCACCCTCTCTGATTGGTCCCTGCTTTCCAAACTCCTTGCTCCTGATTGGGCAAGTCCTTGCACATGCCTCTTTCTGATTGGATCGTTTGCAATCATGAACCTGGAGGCAGACAGTTTAACCGTGGTGTGGGGGGTAGTGGGAGGAGAAAGAGGAGGTAGAGGAAGAGGAGCGGGTTCCCTGAATCCCCTGCCTAAGAGAGGGAGTGGCCGTGGACCACAGGATAGCTTTGGGTTAAAGTTCTAACTGTACAGACCACTAGCTGTGTGGCTTTGAGCAACTATTTTTGACTTCTGTGCCTCAGTTTCTTCATTTGTAAATTGGGATAAAACTGGTACCTTCTTCACGGGTTACTGTAGGAATTAAATTAGTTAATACCTGTAAAGTGCTTATAGAAGTACCTGGCACATAGGAAGCCCTCAATCAGAGTTGGCTATTATTATCCATTTGATCATGTAAGTTCATGACCTTGGACAAATCCTTTTGCCTCTCTGATCCCTGCAGACCAGGAGTTGCTGACCTCTTCATTGAATGACCCGTCCTATCTCCTCATCTCTAGCCTTTAGGAACTGAGGCTGTGCAGAGGGATGTGTAGAGACATCCCTAGCAAGAGAAATGGGATAGGGGCACCAGCATGGGTGAAAGAGAGGAGAGGCGCTCAACCCAACCCTCTCCCCACAGAAAACTGAGGGCAGTGGGGATCTCTCTATAGTCCAGTGTAGAGCGATTCTATCCTGAATCCCTCATGCAAAGGGCTTGTCCTGACTGGGGACAAGGGGCAAGGGATGGGACAGAGTGGGGTGATGAGGACATGTTAAGGCTGGGAAGGAAGGGGAAGGGTTGGAGCTGGGCTTGTGGACCCTCCCCCAGGAATGACAGGGCCGGGGGAGGGGCAGCCAGGGCCCAAGGTCACTCTGTCCTTGT